ATCTATCTATCTATCTATCTATCTATCTATCTATCTATCTATGAAAAAAAATATATATATATATGTGTGTGTGTGTGTGTGTACTTTTTTTTTATCTGTCTGTCTAGCTAGCTATCTAGCTAGCTATCCATTTATCTAGCTAGCTAGCTATCTAGCTATCTGTCTAGCTAGCTATCTAGCTAGCTATCTATTTATCTAGCTAGCTAGCTAGATAGCTATCTAGCTATCTATCTATGAAAAAAATATATATATATATGTGTGTGTGTGTGTACTTTTTTTTTTGCATTCCTGGCTTCTCTTCCAGTGGAACTGGTAATTGCTGGTAGTGGCCAGAGGGATCATTCATTAATTTTTTTTTCTGGCTGTCAGCTGTGTGATTAAATGTCTGTGATATGGTCGGACTATCATGCCTCAGCAGACTGAGTCCCTCTGCCCTCCACATGCTGGTTTAATGATGTGATCCCTCTGACCGATTTACTCTGTGTGTGTGTGCAATGCAGGCAAATTGGAGGACTTGTTCCCGGATGACAGCTATATAGATATGGGAGAGATTGACGTAGGCCGCAAGGTCGCGCAGCAGATCCCTCCCGGTATCTTTTGGAGATCCCAGGTCTTCATTGATCATCCCATGTACCTGAAGTTTAATGTGTCACTCAGCAAAGATGCCTTAGTGGGAATATACGGAAGAAGAGGTCTTCCTCCCTCACACACACAGGTGGGAAAGATTTAGATATTCCTAAAACTGTGAATACAGTGCATGTGTAATTTTCTGTTGTGCTTGAATTTGTTTATGTTTTTTGGGTGTATATGAAAGTTTACTGCAACAGATCATGTTTGAACGTTTTATTTTTCTTTCAAAATCAAGTTGTACATGAAAAAATGAATGCTCTGTGGTAAAAAAAAAAAAAAAAAAAAGTTCAATAATAATGATTTTAAAGGATTTTGTGGCACTGGTCCATTTTTTTTCTCCCCCCCAGAGAATATAAATTAGGATATTTAAAAAGAAAGAAATCCAGCCATGTCAGAGTGTGTCATGAATACAAACCAATTCATAAATTTCTCCTTTGTATTATGAATCACTGTCTTTGTTACAGAGAGGATTTATGCTAAATATCTTTCATGTTCAATATTATTAATGAATCACACCAAGATATTCAGCTCAGGGGCCAGGAGAAGATCTTTCTTTTTACTGACTTTCCTATCTTTGTGTCACGGACTAAGATGTATCATGTAGCTGGAGTTCAACACATTGTGCAAAGCATGATTTCTATTTTGTTCGTACTTCTGTCCAGTGTGTTTCCTTTTTCTAAATCTGAAGTGGAGTATTCATCCATTGACCGATTACACGAGTCAAAGATTTCCTTCCTTTCATATATGAAATGGAATATTGTCTCATTTGTATTCATTGACTCGATACTGATTGGAAGCAAATGAGTGTAGATGTTATTTGGTAAATACCAACTTTACGCTTAATTCCCCGGCTTCCCATTTTTCAGTTTGATAATTTCAAACAAGGCTTTCAGAGAAGATATGTGGACTATGAAATTAACGTGAGTCATCCGGCCACGATGTGTCAAGATTTAACCAAGCTCCCTCCAGAATGATGAGTTATTCATGCAGACCAAATGATGGTCTGCTATAAGGAGGGGTTGAAAGCACTCGAGTCTCATGTGTCACTCTAATGGCATGCCTGCGGTCCATCCATCAATCCTTCTCACTTTCTGTGCGTCTGTCTGTCTGCAGTTTGACTTTGTGGAGCTTTTGGACGGGCGGCGGCTCTTGGCCCAAGACGTCCGCGGCCTGGAGGGGCCTGTGGCCATGCAGCGGAGCCTCGTCCCCATCACCACGCACGACACGGGCTTCATCCAGTACATGGACTCGGGCATCTGGCACCTGGCCATTTACAACGACGGGAAGGAGACCGAAACCGTCTCGTTCCTCACCACTGCCATAGGTGAGTGCCGTGGGCCGCTCAGACCCGTAATAGCTGTCCGTAATCCCCGTAATACCAACCACCGGCACCCTATGGCGAGCATACCGGGGGCCCGGGGCAGGGGTGAGAGATAACGGTCGATTTCAGGCGCGGGAGAACGTACGGGTTAATCAAGGTGAAGCTGAATATTACAAAAATCAGAACATGGGCGCTATCCTGCCATGCCTCTGAGTGGGACATTGAGAGATCATCATAGCCTCATTAGCCCGAGTGTCTTCCGGGCGAATCAGGGGTCCGGCTTCTGGGTAACATTTGCATACAATTTAAAGTATGATTGTACCCTCCTGCTAGGGCCATCTTTTTTTTTTTCTTATCGCAGTTTGCTCCAATTTCCATCCACTTTTCCTCGTATCAAAGTCGGAGAGACGTTGCGCTCCTTTGATTCTAACTCTGAGTGGCACACGACTGCGTTTCACACACACACACACACCTCCTTCTTTTGTACGTTTTGTACGTTCCTCTTTGTTCTCCCTTAAGCGCCTTTGATTAGCGCGGCTGCATGGAGCAAAAAAGGTGTGAGAGGGCCGCGAGGTGTCGACTTTCACAGGGGATGGCAGCTGGGAGCTGTTCTCACATGCTCTTTAATTAAAAGCTCCCGGGCCAGAGTCCATCTGTGACAAGGGGGGGCTGTGCCAGGCTGCAGATCGATGAGAGGCGGGCCTCAAAACCGAAACGAGACAGAACGGAGATGCACTATGGCCCCCCCCCGCTGTGCCAACAGCAGCTGTAATTCAATTCTTAATGTATTATATGACACATGAAGGGGGGGAGTGTTTGCTTTAGCTTATTTCTCCTCGACTGGATGTGCGTGAAGCCCCCCTGTGGTTTGCATCAGAGAAAATGTGACCAGATAAGGTTCTCGGTGGAGCGGATTCGGGTGGGGCAGAGTTAGTGGGAGCAGGAATCGTGCCTGTGTTCATTTTGTATCGGAGCCGATCTGCTCACAGAAGCTCGGAGGGAGGCAGAAGGGCCCTTCTAAAATGGGTCACCGGTTAAGTGCCCTTCAGCAGAAATTGAATCCACCGACTGCCTGAATCGTATTGAGCCGCGGAGGGATGGAGTTGACCTTCAAATTGAGCAGCCCAGGTATAGAAATATATGTGAGCAATATCCAGAACGGGCACCCTGTGAAACACGAGCGGCATTGTTTTAAAGACACTTACGGTAAAATTATTTTAGTGTTTCTGGCAGTGGAAGTCTCGTTTAACTACCTGGGAGGTGCCTCTCAGTCTTCCTGCTCTTTTCTGTAGTAAATGAAGGATTTTCTCGCCACACGTACCCCAGTTGCGCAATATATCTGCGAGACTAGCAGGTCTATGTCTTTAATCTGGGTTGCTTCTCATTACTTGGCGGTGGCTCCATGACAATGTGAATTGTGTCCCGGTGAATGTTTTGTATCGCAAGCCTCTGGAGCATGAAGACCATTTGTCCTTTGCTGCTGCCAGACATACTTCAGCCCAGACTCAGCTCCCCATACAGGGGGGGGGGAAGCAAAAAAGGGGAAGTAAAGATCCGGCCCCTCACTCCATCCTGGAGTTGCCTTCTTTGCACAACCAGCCATCATTCAGTTGTGTTGAGCAATCCTTGGAGAGCACAGCGAGTCGCTGATTAAACCACACTGCTCTGCTCTCACTGACTGGGAAGACTCACAATAGTTAGCTCCCCTGATATGAAGGGTAATGAATTTCAATGAAGCTCCGCTTGAATCCATGATTTATGCGTTGGCCTGTGTTGAGTGTGTGGCTAAGAGATATTCATGGCCTCCCCTCCTGCTCTCAGGAGGAGTCGCAGGCATAGACGGAGGCAGCACGCACTAAACTGTGTCAGCATTCGGAATAAGCCGTACAGATATTATTACCGAAGCCAACGCGTTTGAGCCGCTGCGCGTTGTTCAGCGAGGAACGATGTCAAATAGATTCAGGAAAAAAAATCTTAATTCGAGGCTCGATAATGCAGAGAATCTGTGTGGTTGATAATAACGTGGAATAAGTGTTTGATCTTTGGCAAACCTCACTGAGGTTTGTTTGGCTCTCAGTGAGTTGGCTGTAAATTGGACCGGTTATCTCTCTTGCATAATTCCAGTTTTAGAAAATTGAGTGTGTTGGTGGTTTCACAAACACACACATACACACACACGTCTCATTTTTGTAACCATGACCCCTCTGCCTCATATGGGGCTGCCAGCTATGAGTAACATAGTCTGAACCCCACTCCGTTCTTAGATTTTTATAGTTGGAGGCCATCTAAACCCCACCAAACCGCTGATTCCTTCCATCACACCGGGGAATATCCTTTCATGCATCTCTTCACTAACCAAACATGGCAAAGGGAGGCCTGGAGTGGAAAAACAGCAGCTCTCTGCTCACTGCCCATCCTTTCTCTCTTTACTGTATCCCTGCTCTGCCTGTATATTTACTGCCCCCCCCCCCTGTTTCTTTGTCTTTTTCCCTCTGTCTTGCATTGCATCCTCGGTGATGATTGACTCTCTCGGGCACAGGGAAGCTGAGTCCGTGGCTCACATTTCTGGCCCCTTTGTGGAGTACAAGGGATTCTTTGTTCAATAAGTTTTGCCTCGGAGTTTCTGCTGCCCGAAGGCAGTGGACAAGATTGGCTATTTTTCAGCACCGTTTCTGGCTTAATTCAGAGAGCATCGCGTTTCAGAGTCCCGTGGTCATCTGGTTTCAAATACCAGCCAGTGTCAGAACACTGGGGGAAGGAGAAACATGCCGATTTAATCAATTTGAAGCAGTTTGATGGATCGATAAACAAAAAAAAGGAGGTATGGTGAATGTCCTGCTGGTCATTTATTCATAGCCCTTCTATTTTAACCCCCATTTACAGATGAGTCAGTTTGTACTCACGCAGTCTGTATTTAAACTGATAAAAGCATCGAGTTAAGTGTATATTTTAAATAAAGTCCTTCAAAAGCTTGGTTTCCTGTGAGCCTAGATAAATAAACCTAGGTTTTAAAAACTACAAAACATAGAATGCAGTACATACTACAGACTGCAATCCCAAATGCGTTACTACAATGATTTAAATACACACACACACATATACATATACATGTATATAATCATATATATGTGTGTGTGTGAGTGTGTGTAGTAATGCTAATAGCAATAAGCAAGGATGGAATGCATTTTTCCAGCAACCAGTGAACGAAAAAGTCAGTAAAAAGCATCAGGAGTGGTGCTTTCAACATCCAGAGAATCTGTAAATTGTGATCATTTGATTCATTTGTCAATTTTAGTGGAAGCATAAGTAATCACAACTTGCTCGCTGTTCTCAGGAATCACCCCATTCTCCTGAAACACACAAAGATGTCGGATGCAGTGAAATGTAAATGTTGAGTCTGATGGAGTCTGTGCTCGTCACCGTCATTAGCACGAGGAAATAATCAGCCGAGAGAAATGAGTGGGAGGAAAATTGCTTTTCAAATCACATTACTCAGAAAAATCTCTCCTGATTGCTCTCTTGCAGATTCTATTGATGACTGTCCCAGTAACTGCTTTGGAAATGGCGACTGTGTTGATGGAACATGCCTCTGCTTTTTAGGATTCAAAGGACCTGACTGTGGGCGAGGTGAGTCACTCCCACTCCCATAATAACTTTAATAATCGCCATCATTCAGATATATTGTACAGTGCTGTCCATATTATATCCACTGCATGACCAGAATGAAGCAGTATCTGTGGCACTTTCTTTTAATTGTAACTCAGATCTCTTCCCATTAAATTAGGAGGTGTAACTTTTGACCCCATAAAGAAGAAATGAGTAAGAAATGGAAGAACGCTCTTGAAAACAGTAAAGGGAGTTTTAGAGTAGAGGAGTAATATTCACCTCTGTTTTGTTAAGTTGAAGCTTCTATTAAACCAGGAAATAAAAACTATTCAGTGTCCTGAATAAAATGAAATTGATCTATTTTTTGTTTGTTTATTTGTGTTTATATTTACGTCATGTTTTATATTTTCTGATTTTGTACTACCACTTATAATCAGTGTTTTAGTTCTTTTTAGCTCCATTTCTTGTTAACCCTTTAAAGCCTGATTAAAAAATAAAACAAAACAGAAAATTACTTATTTTTGGTTTGAATTCCTTATTTGGCCTTTTAACAAAATATGTAAAAAGAAAAAACAGATATATACATTTTTTATATTAATAATTTTTTACTATGCGATAAGTCAAGATTATTTTTTGTGTAGTCTTCTGCCCCCTGTTATCAGGTGTATCTGATTGTGTATAATAGGATTTTCAGCAAAGTTTTTACCAATAAATTAAGCAAAAGGTGTCAGATGCAAAACATTTCAGAAACCGTATGTATCAGATATGATACATTTGGCATTACAGGGTTAATGAAGTTTTACAATTTATCCATCCATCCATCTATTTTTTCTACACATGCTGATTTGTCACCAGTCCATTAAAGGGCCAACACACACACACATATTCCAACAGAAAATTAAACTTTTGAACAGTTTAGTGACCCTGTTGCGCGCACGTTTCTAAAAAAAAAAATCGGCTGAAATGGATTTCTTCTGTGTGCTCTTTTCAAAGCGGCCTGTCCAGTGCTGTGCAGCGGGAATGGTCAATACCTTAAAGGTCGCTGCATGTGTCACAGCGGCTGGAAAGGCTCCGAGTGCGACGTTCCCACCAACCAGTGCATCGACGTCACATGCAGCGGCCACGGAACCTGCATCATGGGAACGTGCATCTGCAGCCCCGGGTACAAGGGGGAGAACTGCGAGGAAGGTGATCGTCACGAAAATGTGTTCCCGGACTAATAAGATTCTGCATAATGTGATTGCTGCAGCCACCATTTTCCCTCCTTTAGTGCTTGACATTCTCAAAGTAGACTCGGGAAGTTTCTCAAAGTACAGACAAGGAATCCTATGATGATGATTGATGCATCCAAGGGGTTCTTTTTCTGTCAAAATCCCGATTTTAAGGCTAGACCTTAATCAAAATAGTACATTTGTTGTCTGAGGTTCAGACATAAAGTCTGATGCTAATCTGTGAGGAACTCCACCTTCATCCGCTGGGTGATAAAGCCTGACTCGATAAGATTGAAGCAGCCATTGTGTTTGTCAGCTCTTGAAGGCTCTCATTTCAAAATGAAAAATGGACCCCGGGAGTTTGATAAATGGGGCTTTGTGACTTCCATAGGCCCCATTCTATTTTAGGTGGAGTGCTAGCCATAAGGAGTGGAGGGGACTGTGGACGTGGGCCCTTTAACACTTCTACCTTTCTTCATTGTGACCTTCAGCCACGATGATTAATTGCCAGGAGAGGGTTTCTTGTCAGTTAGCCTCTGATCTTTGCATTCTGTCCCCAAACCATCTGCTAAGAGGCAAGAGATCCAGTTTGTCTCACTATAACCGCCTTTAGACCTATTTATGTGACGGTAAAGGGGACCCGCCATGGCGTGGCCTGCTGATCTCCACGACTAGACATTGCTCCTGCTTGGCACCCATTTGCCATCTGTGTGCTCCACGCTGATAGTATCTTGTTGACAGAGTTTTTATCTTGTGAATTTAAGTTCCCACAGCTGTCAGTCCTTACAAAGGGGAGGGCAACACTCATATTAAAGTGCTAGCTGAAGAAATTCAATCTACACTGATCGTGTACTAAAAGATAGCTTAAAGCTAAGCTAACTAGACACCCCAGTCTATGAAGAGACTTGTTCTATATCCTCCTGAGACCCGGCCCATTCATTTATGTCCATTATAGTGGACATTTTGTAATTATCTGGAGTTACCCTATCAAGCCCTATAGTGTTCTGTAGAGGACATCCTGGGCTTTCCAGTGATGTGCCATGTGATAGCTTTGCATGCTGGGAACTTTACTTTTTTCCTAAGAGTTCTTAGGTAAATATCCCTTTCAAGACATCTTCTATTTTATTATTTAATTATCTAAAGCCTGTTCTATTTTCCAGTGCAAATCGTCCTGTTGTCCTACACAGTGGACATGCTATGAAATTAAAATTAAAAATATTTTTTTAAAAATTTAAATTGTAATGTTCTTTTTTAGGTCCAAATACATGGAAAATCACAACAAAAAAGACATTTGAAGACACTTTTTTTCTTTGGGTCTCAGGAGGATATGTTTCTCCTTATCCATATAGTGCAGGTTTTAGGTTTTCTGGTTTTAAAGGATGCATCATTGGGATTTTATTTAGCATTCTACTTGCTATACATTTTTCCAGAGAATCCCAGCAGAAGCGTGGGTAAAACCTGTAGGTTTGTGCCATAACACCTCCTGAGCGAACAGCCATTAAATGTGCTTCTATGTAAATCTTTTCTCCAGTTTTAGAAAGCAGCGTTTTGTCTGTTCTTCCTCTGTGAGGAGGCAGCTGACCCTCTGCAGTTTGGTGTTCTCAGGCTTAAATAGAGATGCCCGGTTTCCTGTGAAACAGAGAATTAGGGGGTGACTAGGGGGTGTGTAACACTCTTCTCTCTTTTTTAAACGCCTCTAGTGGACTGCCTGGATCCGACGTGCTCGGGCCGGGGCGTCTGCGTCCAGGGAGAGTGCCACTGCTTTGTGGGGTGGGGGGGGCCGGGCTGCGAGAGCCCCAGAGCCTCCTGCATGGACCAGTGCTCCGGACACGGGGCTTTCTCTGCCGATACCGGGACCTGCAGCTGTGATCCCAACTGGACCGGCCACGACTGCTCCACAGGTAAACATCGGCCCGATTAACAGCCCGATTCAGCTCAGATCATACAGTGGGGGAAATAAGTATTTGAGCCCTTGCTGATTTTGCAGGTTTGCCCACTTACAAAGAATGCAACGATCTATAACTTTAATCATATGTACATTCTAACAGTGAAAGACAGAATCCCAAAGAAAATTCCAGAAAATCACATCATGTGAATTTATAAAAATTGATAACCATCTGATGAGGAAAAATAAGCATTCTTTGTAAGTGGGCAAACCTGCAAAATCAGCAAGGGGTCAAATACTTATTTCCCCCACTGTACTTATCATTTTGTTTATGTCTGATCTTAGCTTCGTAAAGATAGAGAGGCAAAATATTTCATCATTAAAGGGTCAACTTTTTTCTGTTTTAAAGAGTTTTTAACCTTGTTAACTCATTTAAAGATGTATTGTATGTGTTTCTAGGCATATCAGGAACAATTTGTTGCCATTAGTGCAATTCCTATGATACTACAATAATGTTTATGATTTTCTTGAAAAACAAAGCTCACCTAAGCACCTGTGTTATTCTGTTTGGAGATCAGCAACAATACAATCCTATGTAATTTATGGGTAATTGCCCACCCACCAGTTTTCATAGCTTGAATATGTAACAAAAGACAACCAAAGGCAACAAAGTCTATTACAGTGACATTCAAACTAGTTGAACGCTACAATTGAAAAAAATAACTCTGCTTTTGTCCAGGTATTTATTTAGCAGCTTGATTTAATACAGCTTTAGTAAGCGTTGGACTCCTCACAGAAGTAAACAGAAGTGATTTTTCAAAACAGAAAACAGCTCACAGAAAGAGATCAATTCTTTTCAAAACTGATCAGTGAGCCGTCCAGGACTAGCAAGCAAACGTTGTCAGTTTTTCTCTTGATTAATCTGTTTTTTGCAAATGGTTTAATCTGGGTTTGTGCATGGGAAGGTGGCAGCTGCAGAGAGGATATAAAACGCTGAGCTGAGACTGAATGTGGGAGAAGGTTCACGCTCTTTCATGACTTCTGCCTGTCTTCGTGTTGGTTCAACATTCAGGGCTGATGATTTCTTTGTTGTGCTCTGGAGGAATGTTCCTTTTGCATTTACAGTGTCCACAGAGAAACTCTCAATGAATGCTAGAGCGTAAACTAAAGCTTTCCAGTTCAAATATTCCATCTTGAGGCTCACAGGATCAAACCAAAGGTCTTGTAAATGTAAACGCCCTTCTTAACCACGTTTGATCAAGACATTTTTAATGGAAAACCAGTTGTTAAATTTAAAGATAACCAAACTATTACTGTTACTTTTTTGTGAGCCTGATCTGTTGCATTCCCCTGCAGATTACAGCCTCAGAAAGCTCTTTTTAAACAGTCTTCTCATTTAGACAACATCATTTCTATCCTCACAAAACATTTCTAGGTTTTGGCTTTTAGCTCAGTAGTTCCTCTGATCCACAAAATTCCCTTTTGTATTCCAAGCAGACGTCATGACCTATTAGGTAATCCCGAGGATTTGGAGGTAAATGGGCAGTTAGTCTGGGTTTGCAGCAGAGAAAAAGACAGAGCTCAGCAAATGATGATGAGTTGGCTCTTTATCCTACTTATTGTGGAGCTTTCTTTGGTCTGAAACAGCACTAAGCTAGAGGTGGGGTTCTACAAAAAAGTAGGCTGTAACCTTACAGACAGATGGAAAAAAAAATAGACGGAAGGCTTTCACAAATCTTTCATTTTTATGTAATCCATCCATGTAATCCATGCCACCCATTTCCAAATTTCAAACTCACATCCCTCATGCAGCTTTGGAATAGAGCAACCTAAGTGTGGAGTATTTCGTAATACTTTTACATCCTTTAAAGACTTTGCATGAGATTGTAATCCAGTTTACATGTGTGTTTTTGCTCCATTTGTACAGCTCTCCCACCCAGAGGAGAGCTTGTTTACATGGTCCTTTAGTGCCGATGCTAATGGTTATCATGGGAATGTGGGGATTTCTCGGTGTGGACTCTTGGCCAAAGATAATGATGGTTAGCCTGTAGGCTGTAATTGCATCTTTATCACTTTAAAGGTTTTTCCCTTTTTTTCTCAGAGAGCAGTTGTCTGAGAGTCAGCTTGACTCTCTCCTCCCTGACCACTCTGCTTTCTAATGATTCCTACTGATAAACTGCAAGACTCCTTAAGATTTTATTGGTAGGAGATCATTTTTTGGACACAAGTGTTAATGAGATAAATCTGGATGTTCATTCCCTTCATTAGCACCTTTTGATAATGAAATATTGTGTCACGGCTCCATGAGGAACGGGTTACTAGAAGACCTCTGGAATTTAACAGCACTCTCACATTCTTCATTTTCATTTACAGCCATTTTAAGTCGAGCCTTGCTGTCCTCAATTGTCTCTGGAGACAATTATACGGGCATTGTTAGCACAATTAATACATCAGAAGTCGGTTGTAGAATTAGCATTTGTATAGTTTGTGCTGATCTGTAATTAGCGGGGAGCAGGGTCTTTTTTGAAAAGCTTATGGTATGTTTCTGAAAATACTTGGATTAAAATTGTTACCACGACAAAAAAGGCCCTCTAAATGCTGTAATGAAGTGATTAAGATATCTTACCTCCAGTTTGGTCCCCTGTGGTCATGTGAACTGCTTCGGCTAATAAGCCATTGTTCATCATTACCCATAATTCTAAGCCACTTTTACTAGAGATTACTTAATGAAGAGGTTAACTTCAATGAAATTCATAAGTAATCTATCGTGGTTTAATGTTCTTGAGCTTTTGGCTTTTTATACTCTCCCTCCAGGTCTTTAGCTACACAATAGTTTAAGCCACGCTTTACTCTGGCTCTGTCTGTCCATCCTCTTCGATCCTGAACAAAGTTCTTCCTCTGCTAGATGGCACTTAAAGAGAATAAAAACAACATATTGAAATCCTATGCCTTGAGTCATTCCATGGATTTGTACATCCTGCAAAACGTGGCAAAGCCTCGCACTGGAACATTTGCGGTTCAATCTAAAATGACATTTAAAGAAGCAGCGAATTAGTCGAACTCTTGGCTGTGTATCTCTGTTCCTCCTTTACCCTTTGTGCTGTGAAAAGGGTTAACTTTACAATGAGAAAAAGGTTAGAGAAAGAAGAAGTCTGCCAGGGCCACCATAAACCTTGTCTTTGCTGGGTAATGGACTTATTAGATTTGTATTGTCAGAAAGGATTGCCCCTATGATGTGCAGGAATTTCTTTTCAGCTGCCATCAGACAAGGTAGTGGAGCGTGGCCGCCTTTTTCTCTGACAATAACTTCTGGATTTGTCCTTTTTTTTTTTTTTTCCACCCCTTGTTGCCTTGTCCCATCACCCCTTTCGTCTCCCGTTTCCACCCCCTTCCCCTTTTCTCCCTTTTTCTGTCCCTGTCTGTCTTCCCCCCCATTCCGCTTTTTTGTCTTCCCTCTCCGCGCGCCCCGTCTCCCACAGAGATTTGTGCGGCGGACTGTGGCGGCCACGGGATGTGCGTGTCGGGCACCTGTCGCTGTGACGACGGCTGGATGGGCTCCGGGTGTGACCAGCGGGCGTGTCACCCGCGCTGCAACGAGCACGGCACCTGCCGGGACGGGAAGTGTGAATGCAGCCCGGGCTGGAACGGAGAGCACTGCACCATCGGTAGGATGGGAACAGGTTCAGGTTTTGGTGGTGGTGGTGTAGATGTCTGTGTGTGTTTGGGAGGGGGGTCAGAGGCCAACAAAGGCATATTGGCTGCCACTCTGCCTGCGTATGCGTGTGTACGAAAGCGTTGGGCGTGAGAGGGGGGGAAGCGTCCGGTCGGAGAATGGAGGGGGGAGAAAGCATGCTTAATTGAATTTGTGCAACTCAGTAAAGCATGAACAGGTTTACTCAAGGAATCGGAGGTTTGCCTTCATGCATTTTAATGTGGGAATGTGCTAAGGTGTCCTTTCATTTTTTACTCATCCTCTTCCGCATCTCTTTCTTTGCCCCGTTTTTCCATTTACGATGGCTTTCAAACGCTGACGTGTGAGTCCCTGTGAGCAGGTCGACCACAGCTCTTAGCTCTGTTTACTCTAACCGTCGGGCCTCTCTAAACATCACCAGCGGTTAAGTTTTCATGGCCTTGACTGAAAGTCGAGAGCTGTTCTGAAAACTGCGGCGCACGTTAGATTAAGCTACAGATTACGACCTCCGAGTGTTGTGTTTCCTGTGTTTTCATAATCCTCTAACATTGTGTCTGTTCATGAGATGAAGTTTTCATCTATTTTAGGTTTCCTTTTCTCTTGGTTATTTACCCAAAGATGATTTTACTACTAGAGCCAAATTAAATATGCGAAACACTTCAAGTGAAAAATAAATAGATAAGATAAAATGCTACTTCCTAAAGAGGAGGCAGACTGTCATGCCTTAATAATTTTTTTGATATTTCTTTGAGGTTAACGGCCTTATTTAGATATCATATGACAGCAGATGTTAACATCTGTTTGTGACCTGTCGCTTCTGTTTAATATGCAGAATATGGCGTGATATTTCTGTTTTATTTCCTGATTTTTGATGGATTTGTGATTAAAGTGTAAACGATATGTGACTTCACCGGCATCAAACCTGCTCCTAAACATTAGGGCATGCTGCCTGATGCCTGCTTTGCAGTGTTACAGCTTGGGCATTCTGCTTTTCTGTGTACGCGTCAACTCCTTTTCTTGCATCTCTTTCATCTTCTCTTCCTTTTCATTTGTTTCTTGGGGAGTATTGGATTCATATCTTCAAGTACTGATGTGCCAATACTGAGATATTGTTATTGCAGTCAAGCATTTCTAATAGATCTGTTGCTTTATGCTCTGTGGAAAAATACATTTCACCATTTGTACTTTTTTTCTTTAGTACTTTAGCATTAAAAATGTTATAAATATATCCCATTTTTAGAGTTTAAACTAACTAGTAGAATACAGAAGTAAAACATCAGGCAGTACTGTGTTAATACACCAATGTAAGAAAGAGTTCCCCTCCTTTTTTGACATTTTCCACTGCACATTGTAACCCACTCTTTTTAATGCCTTTTTTTATACAACCACTCAAGCATTAGAAAGGCAGTGGGAACACAATGGCCATCTCTCCTCCGTCTGTCGCAGTGGCTCAGTGAGCAGAAATTTGAAACTCCCACACATTTGAGTCGAATTGAGACCAGGAAAAAAAAAAAAACCTGAGAGTTCTGAGACCTTTTAACAGATAAAGATTATTTCCCCCACTCTTTTCTCACTCGTGTCTTGAAACAATGTTGCCTTAGTTCAGAGCTTTGACTCAGTCTGTGAATGTTTCATACCCTGCCCTTACATTATTGATGGCTCTTTTATAAAGGCCATATTGAGATCCCCTCTCAACAGGAATATTCCTCTGTGTTGTCCATTAAGATGCCAAAGATCTCAATTTGAATCAATTTATATTATTGAGAGCTCGGCGTTGGCCTGAAGCCTCACGCTGTGGAGCACATGAGGTGGGATGGGTCCCATTATTGGCACGGCCTCAGGTGACCTCACCGCCTGAAGATGTTTGTCAAGATTAAAAGCGCTTTTTTCTTCGAACATCCCGACCTCCTGTACAATATCGCTTAATAGATTTACAGTGATAAGTGCATCGATCATATTGCTTTAGAAACACTCCCTTGGGACACCCTGCCGATGCCAGTATTTAATAACCCGGGGACACGGGGAAACATTCTTACGGAACATTTCACTTTTGTATCCACTCTCTCGCTGTTTTATTGTCTCTAACTTTTCCTTTCTCCGTGTTCCACATATTCCCTCTGTCTTCTCTCCGTCTCCATCTCTCTCTCCTCTGTGTGGGACCGTGTTTGACGCGCTGCTTGTAATGCATGCTTGCAATGCCTCGTGGCTGCGTTTATTTCCTCCTTTTCACTTTTGTAATGTAAACTAACACATTGCCCTGCTGTCCTATCATGGAAGTGGCACTGTTCAAACCTCCCTTATATGTCCTGTCTTTTATCTCCCAAGCTCACTATCTGGATAAGGTAGTGAAAGGTATGGCATTCCTCCTTCTATTTTGCCCTCCTCCCATTGTGAGCCCAGGCAGCTTTAACGAATCATGCACACACACACACACACACACACCGTTGTCTTCTCCAAGAGTGAATAAGCCAAACACTATGTCCCCCCTCCTGTTGTCCCAAACTCATCCTACAGACCTCCACTCCTCATCAACGTTTTTGCCATATTGTCCCACTTAGCACCTTCACACTTGTTGAGTCGAGTTGTGCTGCTTCCCTCACATGTTAGACGTTTGATCTGTGTTGCATCCGTGCTTTTCTCAATAAGGGGGGGTGTTGGGAAAAGGGGGGATTGATAAACCTGTGCCATGCATTATGGATGAGTGTGCAGGTGTGAGGAGAGCCCGATAGAAGCCGAGGAGGCCGCATCCTTTCTGATAAAAAAAGAGTTCACGGTCTGGTTGGTGAGGGACAAGCAGGGGGTGGTGGCTCTGCTGCCATCCTGCCCCCCCCCCACCACCCACCACCAACCAACACCTCACTTAGTCTCACTGTGTGCTTAGTAATAGACCACCTGGCACACGGGAAGCTGCCAGAGAAGCTCGGTGAACACTTTCATCCTCACGTCTGGAGCCGTTTCAGGCGGGCTTTTGCAGGGCTTTGCCCCGGCTTCTGTCTGAAAGCGCTGCCAGTAGAGTTGAAATGGCTCCAATAGAAAGTGGATCTCTATTTATCCCTCCCCAACAAACATTCCAGGCTTTTAATTCGTCCATCTCCACTGGACTAACCGGAGTAGCTTTGTCCACCGTCCAGGAGGCCAGACACTTTCCAACAACACTACTGCCACAACTGTTAATCTCTGTTTGTGGAGCTGAGTTTATTTCATTTCCCTGCAACTGTGAGGAAAAAAATAACACATTTTCATGATGTGTTCGAGATTTTTAATAGTATTTTATTCTGTGATTATTACAGTCTGTTGTAATATATGAATTATTTATCAGTGGGGGAAGTGTTAGATATTTTTTCTGTTTCACATTTAAAATAATAAATGGTTCCACTACATTGTTAAATCAGAAAAGGTTTGTGATATTTTTTGAGCAAAATTAGTTTCAGCATTAGACGATGTAGAAAAATAAATATACCTACATGAATGAAAAATATGAATTGTTTCCTAATCTGTGCCCACACTATAAATCATCTTATTATAAAATGTTTGCTCTTTTCATACTCTTCCATTCGCCCACTCTTGATTTCTCTGTGAGATGTAAAAGTACACACAGTAGAGACAGCCGCCCCTGTCTTTTTGGTTTTAGAAGTGGGTCAGCTTGGCATTTTCTTTATCAGGACAGCCCACTAGCATTACAAACGGCATCGGACTTGTTTGTTTGATGCCTGTAGATTTTACCCCCCTATCTCAGCGAGGGGATATGAATCATAAGGTACCAGATAATGTCAAACAGCCGCGGGAATATCAGCAAGATAATCCTGTGATCTATGCACCATGTGAGGACCTATCCAAAAGGTAACAGTGAGTTTTTCCCATGTCACGCTGCTCCAAGCTGACCGGATTCCCAAATGTATAACTTTATTAATTAATAAGAACAGTATGGTACCAACTATGAATACTAATATAAACTTTTAAGAATAGAAGAAACAACAAAAGACAAAGGCAGCAGTACTGTAATATTGATCATGGCTGAAATCATGATCCAATAATGTATAAAAACACGGGCGTATAGAGCCCTGTCCTCATTAGCAGAGATAGGGAGTGTAATCTTCTGTAGTAATAAGTGACTATTGATTTTGAAAATGTCTCATCTGATTTTACCGTGGAAGGGTATGAGAAGCTCGACAAAGGGTGTATCAAATTAATCAGCTTTTGTTGTGGGTCATTATGGCCCGCTTACACCCATTTAAAATCTTTACATTATTTCAGCCTCCCGGGACAAGAGAACTATAAGCAGCAAACTAATCATCGAGCAGCCCACGTTTTTTGCGAGCGTTTTATTGTCGGTGTTTGTGCAGAGCGTAGTGTTTAACCGTTATTGTTTCCTTTATTTAAGACTTTGTGCCAACCCCTGTTTGTTTGCTCTTTTATGTTACCAGAGGGCTGCCCTGGTTTGTGCAATGGAAATGGTAGGTGCACTCTGGGTAACAATGGCTGGTACTGCGTGTGCCAGCTGGGCTGGAGGGGCACTGGCTGTGACACCTCTATGGAAACCGCCTGTAGTGATGTCAAGGACAACGACGGAGGTAAAAATGACAAAGCACACAACGCAGCGCCTTCTGACACTGGCCAGTCACCAGCAGGGACTCTTAACCAGACAACATTTAATGATAAAAATTAGCCACCTTTGTGATCGCGTAAATTATCCACCTGCTCCGTCGCTTTTCAAGTTGGGTTGTTCTCTTCTACAGGCCATTTCAGTTCAATTTGTATGAGGCAATAACAGTTTAAATTGTCTCAAAATGCTCTACAGAACCCCAAACTTGCTCTGAAAAGAAGGAATCTTTAGCAGGACGCTTTTTCTCTTTTGTTTGGACCAAACAGAAAGGAGGGAGCAGAGAATGAGAAGCGTGGATATGAAGTCACATACATATTAGGATAAAACAGAAGCAAAAATATGAGAAAGCAGTACCCTTTAGAGCTAAAAAAGGAAAGCGGTGTGGATATGCTAGCAACAGCACTTCTTCGAATAGCCTCTTAAAGGTGACTTTACAACACAGATCGTCTCTGTTGTGTCTCAAATTCCAGCAAAGTTTCAGTCAGACTCGTTACTTTAATATTAAAGTATTTCTGATTCTGATTTCATTTGGCTGTATGTTCACTAGCTCTTAGCAATAATAAACACACTTGAACTCATTAATTTCAAAATGATAAGACCAAATATAATGTAAAAAATACAATGCAGAAACTACTGGAGGACATAAGCATCCTCTGTATCCAGTTAGTGTAAAGATAACTCAGATGACGCATGCAGAAAAAAGCGAAAGCAAGGTATGAATTAAGGAAGCGTTGTTTATTTTTAATCGAAGTGCCTGGCCCGGGGCCTCGAACACTCACTGGCCCCAGGAGGAAGTCTTTGCTCTTCCCTCTAACTAGCCCTGAGCGGTGCCAGGCACACACACAGAGCCAGTGAGGGGGCTGCACCACTCTTTAGGCCAAGTGGGAGACGTGACTTCCTTTCTTCCAGACCTCATTCTCAGCTTGAGCCATGCACCAGCATCCCTTATTTATGCAGGAGCTGTTTGTCCTCCCATCACTTTGCGGGGACCACACAGCTCTCAACGGCACCGGCAGGAGGCTGCTGGGGATCTGACTGACTAGTGACAGCACAGTTTATTTTTATCACCCATCTGGCCAGCGAGGCCCCTGATAGCAACGAGTAGGGGAGTCCAGTGACCCACTTCAACAATGAAAAGTGCATTACACAGCATCTCTCTCTCTGCTGCATTGTGTTATCTGAACTGCTAACAGAGAACCATGACCAAGGCCTTAAGGCCTGATTGACTGAAAGATATCGCACTGTACAAAGGTTTTACCAAGAGACTAATTTAGTATCTTTTGCATTTCATGAAGGTCTGTACTTTTATTCCCCAGGTACCGAAAATGCATGTAACTACATGCTTTTCAAAATATTTAAAAGAAGAAAAGTCAAAGATGATTTTCCAGAGAGACCAACAAAGGCATAAACAGAAGAAATAAAGAACCAGAGACAAAAAGGTCCACTCATTTTGGGCTTTTCAGAGGCCTTAGGGAATACTTGATGACTGATTTCTACATACATTGTCTCTATCACAGACTGTATGTTTTAGAGGAGATAAACTAGGCTTTAGGCCTTCCCTCTGGTGTGCCCTGGTACCAACAGGCCTGTGCAGTGAGTGCAGATAAGTGGCCGCAGATGCTTTGACTAACTCCTCCGACGCTCTACAATTTAATACGAGGCGGTTTTTCCAATCATGGTTGGGAGAATGTCTGCCGTCAGCGTGTACGGTCGAGAGTGGCACCTCAAATGAAGCTTGGAATTTAAGTGAGACGAGATGTATCTGAGACACGAAAAGCCGTTCTCATGTGTCATCTCTGGCCGCCTGACTCCATTCTGCACGACAGGATAGATTTAGATGACACAAAAGAACATACTTGCAGCTCAAGGGGTCCAGGAGTAGAGTGGTGGTCCCTTAGTTCAAAGTTTTCCTGTTTTTTTTTCCGAATCTTCCCAGTTTTTGAGTCAGGGTTAGATTAAGGAAGACAACACACTGACTGCTAACTGTTTCAGATAGAATGGAAATGAGCCACGGAGAGTCTTTAATGGCTTTATTTGGGTTATTCTTGGTATATTTTCTTCAAAGATTCATACATAGCATTACCTTTTGCATAGTCTGGATGTGCTTAGCCTCCTTTACCAGGTGTGTGAACACCTGAGCTTAATGAGCCTGTCTGTGCATGCCTTCTTTGCCCCTGTCAGATGGCCTGGTGGACTGCATGGATCCAGACTGCTGTCTGCAGGCCACGTGTCACACCACCACTCTGTGCGTGGGCTCCCCGGATCCGCTGGACATCATCCAGGAGACGCACGTGTCCTCCACACAGAGCAACCTGCAGAGCTTCTACGAGCGAGTGCGCTTCCTGGTGGGCAGGGAGAGCACCCACATCGTCCCTGGAGCCAACCCCTTCGATGGCAGGTGAGGACCAGCAGCAGAATGAAATGATTAGCTTTCTTTGGCTTTATTTTTCTTTCATAATTTGGATTGTTGTGACGTTAGATTCATTGTTTCTGTCGATAAAGCTGGAGTTGGTCCCCTGAGTTGGTCCCCTTTTCTATTTGTTATCATCCATTGCTAAATTAACCCTTTAAAACCCGATCCAAGAATAAAACAAAACAGAAAATTACTTTTTTTGGTTTGAATTCCTTATTTGGCCTTTTAACTAAATATGTAAAAACAAAAAACAAAAAGAAAATTTTTATATTAATAATTTATTACTATGCGATAAGTCAAAATTATTTTTTGTGTAGTCTTATGTCCCCTGTTATCAGGTGTATCTGATTGTGTAAATTAGGATTTTGAGCTAAGTTTTTACCATTAAATTATGCAAAAGGTGTCAGACGCAAAACATTTCAGAAACCGTATGAATCAAATATGATACATTTGGCATTACAGGGTTAAGAACAGTGTGATTTTTTCCAGCCAGTTTTAGTTAAAAAGAAAAATCTCGTCTTGGATTTAAGATTGCAACTGAAACCTTCTTATCTAATGAATGCTGTATAGTTGAGTTGATAAAAAAAATCCGCATCAGCAGGTTTTCCTGTTTGTTTCCTGTTTACAATACTCCCATACTCATAAACGCTGTCATTAGAAAGACATCTATTCGAATATTCAAACCAACCCTTTTTATTTTGTATCCATTTCCTGTGTTTATTATCAGATAATGCGCAGAATTTTGTTTAACCAAAAAAAAAAGAAAAGAAAGATAAAATATCAAAGAAAAACAGTCATACATAATGAATACTGAGATGGGAAGAGACGTGCACCAAAGGGAGGATGATTGACAGATGCTGATGGACAAAGATAGAATGTGGCAAAAAGTTCATCTCCTATTCATGTATTGTGATTACTTCTACTGTAATCCATCTGAGGCCCACTCCCACAGGCACAGCTCCTGACACCCCAAACACAGAATATGAGACCCGTTTATATCAGGCAGGATATCAGTTGGAGTCCCATAAGATGGCCCTGATGTGTTTCCCTTTTCTCCTTATCCTCTTTTCCTCTCTGGTGCCACTTGTTTGCAGCCTGCTTGCTTATGTATCACTTCCATCTTGGTATGTTTTACTAATGTGAAAGAAACAGACCAGACAGAATGAGTACGACAGAGTAGAACAGGAGGAGAAAGATAACAAAAAGATTAAATGTCTGCTCAGTTTGCAGTTTGTTTTTTAAATTTTAAGCATAGCAAAACATTGTCATTCCATATCACATTATTTTTAATAGAGCCGAATTGATTTGATGAACACCCGCCCAAGCAGGATCATTTCATTTATAAGATAGCGTCACATCTAAGGGGTTGTTGCTAATCAATAGTTCTCCATCCTACTTAACAGTCTGCAGTAAATGCTATTCTTTTACATAATCAAGAATTATTTCCTCAGCAGAAAGTCAGGAGGAGTTACATCAGAATGTCATCAGCCGCACCGAGAGCTCAAAATCCGACAATTTTTTAAATGTTTTGCGGGAATGTTAGCTGATACTTGAGAGACGCATTGTGACATTTTCCCTCATTGACATTTTTCTGGCTCTTGAGAGCCACTCAGCATTTCCAGCCCTGCTCTGGACGGAGGATTGAGGGTTGAGTAATACTCTTGTCTCTCACAGAAGATGCAGCCATAAATAAGTAAAACGAAGAATCCAGAGATGAGCAGCGAGATTGTAGGCCTCGGCTCACCTAAAAATATCAGTGATAATCTATTATTCATGCACGGTATTCATTCCCCACCCCCTGACAGATATGAGCAGTTATGACAAGGGGCTTGAGATGAGCCTTGCAGACACAGTCTCAGCATCTTCCTTCCTGATACGCCCGCCTTGTTCTCATGATCGCGTCTTTATCGATTCGCTAGCCACTTCCTTATGCTAGGAGCTGCTATTTTGGATGTTTCCCACCACAGAAAGCTACAGAGGTGCCGCTAAATGAAGCATCTAGCACTGCATAAAATGTCTCGATTCTCCTGCCATGACATATAATACAATAGACTGCCTGGGCCCGGCAGGCCACGCTGACCAGAATAGTAAACAGGGACTTTGTCTATGGAACAATTTAGAGGAAGATTGATAGCTGGTTTAGAATAGCAAGGCTGAGGTCATCCGCTCCATTTACAAGCCTTGCAATTTTATCATTTTATTTAGAAGTCTTTTATCAGCTCTGAGCCATTAATGTCGGGAAAAAAAAATCTTGTTTGTTTTCCTCTTAATCTGCTCTGGCCCTTTTAGCTGCATTATGTATTTGCAGTCCTTAGAATTTGCTTTGAATTGCTCTCCGTTTACACTCAGCATGCTGCGTGACATGCAGACGGGGAAGCGGGGGGGCTACAGTCACATCCTTACATTTGCAGCAGGATTTACCCTATAATCAAGTCATTTGTGGAGATAATGATGTTTCGTTGCCTCTGGGGTAATGGTAGTGTTTATTTGTTTTTGTCTTTTGTAGTTATCTATACTTAAGTCTGCGTTTTTGTTTTTTTTATTGTGTCTGAATCACTGCTGTGAGGAAGCATTCTTTTCTCAATAAATGTTTCTAAAAGAGCCACTTGTTCTAATGTAACAGTGATGCATTTAAGTGTTAACTTTTTTATCAACATCAGGGGTATTTGGAAAGTATTTAAAAGTCCTAATTTGTCTTTCAGATCAACACAACACCTCTTATCAAGAAGTGGTCATTATGTGATAAATGGATATATCTTTCTTGAGCCATTGCTGTTATTAGTTTGACCGTCCCTCCCTTTAATTGTGTAATAGAAAGAATCCAGAAGCAAACTTACTGCATGTCTTCACTTTTTTCGGGGGTGGGGTGGTGAGGTTATTTATTGGGAAGTCGGTTCGAGGCTTATTTGAGTTCAAAATGTCCACAGTGCAAGTGATGATTGAAGATTTTATCTGTGACAAAATCCAACCCAACGCTCAACCAGATGCAGCCTTGTTATCCATAATTCATACCGAGCACACGCCAGCCGGCCGGGGAAGATTTCGGGCTGAGTAAAAAGTGCTCTGCCTGTTTACTCTTCACAACATGTTTACCTTTTGTAGTTGATAAATGGTGAACCGGTGGTTGTGAAGCCTCTGGTCACCTTGTGAAATCCCTTTGACCAAAGCGAATGGCGTGGGGACGGAATGTCCTCGGGGAAGCGGCCATGTTTGCTTTGCTCTTCCTTTGTATGTGATGTCAACGTTTAAGTGACTTTTCTTGATGGTAAGAAATGGGAAGGAGATAGTTCCCCTCTCACAGCTTCTTCTGAAGGAAATGACCTATTCAAACAAACCCTAAAATGCATAATATGTTGAATTTTTATCGAGAGACAGCCAGGCCTGTGCGGGGTTAACTTCATTTGTTATTTTACATAAATGGATCGAACGCTCTATAGGGATGCGCCTTGGGATTCAGAGCAGTGTCTTTTTGCTTGTTTACAGAGCAGCACTGGACAGCCAAGGTCCTCTGAAGGAGTCCTGGCCTAATTAACATAAAACCGGGTTCCTAGGGACAGGGTTTGTGTGGGGTGAACGATCTTGCCTCTGGTAAGGACATGTTGAGGGCAGCCACTAACACGCTAGTGTTAATTGTTTCTGGTACGTGGCAGTGTTTAAAACCCAAACGTATTAAAAATAGCCACGGTCTAATGAAAAAGTGACAGTAAGGCATTTGTTAGGGGGTCCGCCCAGGTTTTTGCTAACCTCCACAGAAAGGATGGCTGACCATGAATTGGACCTTGATAGTGACTGAGGTAGGAGTTGACAAGGGAGACGTGATACAACAAGGTCTCCAGTCATCACTTCGGTAAGATCAGGAGGTGAATTTGGACGAGCTCCCGCTATTGATTGCTGGGGATTGATGATCAGATCTAATTTACGTAGCTTCTGGAGGCCTGATGTCACTTCTGGAAATCTGTCGAGGTCTTGATAACCAGCCAAGCGAATCTTGCAATCTGTAGTCCTATTATTTTCCTCTTTTGCATTCTGCAATGGAACAGATAAATCCTCTTTTTTTTAATTAGAGCACTAGCACAAAATAAAGCCCGCTCTCATCTCATTATCCTTCCATTCTGGTTAAAAAAAAAAAAAAAAAAAACCTTAGAGACATCCTCAAAACTTCTATTTTTTTCTGTTTCAGTTAAGGCTCTTTTATTCTGTTTCGTGCATTGTTCATGTTTTAATGACATCAATATTCACTTTATATTGTCTCCACTTATCTGATCCAGAAAGAAAAGATTGCTGTACTTTGTTCTTGTATATTTAAAGCACAGTGTAAGTCTGTGGATCTTTTATTTGGTTTTTTTCCCTCCCACACAGCCACGCTTGTGTAATTCGTGGACAAGTAGTGACCTCAGACGGGACGCCGCTGGTTGGAGTTAACATCAGTTTCATCAACAATCCTTCCTATGGTTACACCATCACCAGGCAGGATGGGAGGTAAGAGCTCCAAACACACCCCAAAAACACACTCAAACTTTTAACAATGATTTAGATTAATTCCAAAAAGAGTCCGGTCTCGCTGAACTGTGATGATTGAAGGAAACACACTCTGTTGCCATCCCAAACTCTGTCACCATTTGATCTGCGTTACGCTTTCATTGGGTCCAATTTTGGAGTTCTCGGCTCAATTCCCAGAGAAATCAAACAAAGCCCTTCTGTTACGCTCATACGTTATGCTTCAGTAGCAGCAAGAAGGAGGCAAAATAAAATATGCCAACGCAAAGCGTCTCAGTGGAGCTTTAAAACAAAGTGCAGATGGACTTTTTTAGACGGTGCAAAATTCAGATATTCAAAAAAAGCATTCAGTTTAGTTTCTTTAACCCTATAGCTGAACATGTGTATTGTCACTTTTTCACTTTTTCAAGTTATTTCCAAAGGCACGATGGCCCTGAAACTGTGGATAAATAGTTCTGTGTTCTAAATAGGCAACGGGAAAAGCAGTGGATTGTCTTTGGCTGTTCTTTATAAGCAGCTCAGTCTATTTTCTCAGATAAAAAAAGGCTGTTTAGAATATGCTTCTTGGAGCGAAACTGAAAAAACTAATTCTTTATATTTTTTCAGACTGTGGCTACAGATCAGATTGCAGCAGCATACAGAACTCAGTCACTTGCAGCTTCCAATCCCCGGTATCTCTCGCGGCCCTCTCTGTTAGGAAGGCCTTGTGGCAAACCAAGCCCTTCTATCACAGCACAGCATGAATCGGTGTTTGCTCTCCAAGCCCTACTTCCTCCTGATACTTTTATCACTCACCGACACTCTAAAGGCCCGCAGATTTGCCACCAGTTTGATCTCGATCGTTCTTATTCCTTCCGTCGTCTTGTCGTTTTCGTCTCTTTTTTACCATTACAAAAATCTTTCATCTCCACTCCATCGTCTTCACCTCCGTCATTTATTTCATCTGCTCTCCATTCCTTCACGCTTCCCACCTCTAATCTCCCACTGCCCTTAAGCCTTTCCTTTCTGGGCACCTCTCCTTCTCTTATTTCCTGTGCTTTCCTTGAGCCCCGGTCTTATGTCCTTTCCACTGCACTGACTCCCCTCATCTCTATCTTTTCCCCATTTTATGCGTGTCCCATTTTTCCCATGCATTTTCCAGTTTTTTTTTTTTTTTTTTCGTGTGCAAAAGCTTTATACTCTTTTCCCCCTCCCAGCATATGTGTAAACACTACTCCATCTCCCAGGTTCGCCTGTAAACATGCTCAGTCTCCTGCAACTCCCCTGCAATCACTGTAAACAGGCTCAGTGCAGCGTGAAATCAGAAATGCACCTGTTCAGCCACTTAGAAATGGGAAAGCTGTCTCAACTCATTTTTATGATGTGTTCTTTATTATCCAAGGGTTTAGGGGGTTTTTTTCTCCTAAAATTACCTTCTCCACTCTCCTCAAAAAGTTTTATCACCATACCAACAATATAAGTTAGTTTTGTTTTTATAAACCCTAAGGGTGCGCAGTCATTTTACTATACGCTGAGCATTGATACACCCCCAGTCCTTTTTTTTGGGGGGGGTTTTAGCCAGTGATAGTACAATGTTGAAAAAGATATTGGCTCATTAAATATTATTACATTCTTCCTAACATTCTTATAGTAGGCATGAATCATCAAGGATATACTTTGTATTTATGACTTATTGGTATTTAAGGGATTCATTCTTAGTACTCAAGATAATCTAAACGCATTTGTCACTATGTATGTTTTTATTTATTTATGGTAAATACGTTTATTTATTTAACCCTTTAAAGCCTGATCCAAGAAAAATAGGAAGAATATTGGATTTTTTTAGTCTGAAGTCTTTCTTTGGCCCTTCAACAACACATGAAGAAAAAAAAACTTAAATTATTTTGATCAAATTAGCGTGTCAAAATATATATTTCTGTGTAGTCTTCTACTGGCTGTTATCAGGTAAAGCTTTAACCACTGAATGATGCAAAAAGTCTCAGATCCAAAAGACTTCAGAAACCATATCAAATATGATACATTTGGCATTATAGGGATAAGCATGCCCTAAATCCGTTTTAGGCATTTGATAAGGGCCCAATTAATTAATTAGATCATTTCTCTGACATGGCTTGAGCCTACACACAGTAATTCCTTTAGCTTATTGGCTAACGCACCCAGAGCAGAGCTTCTTGTCTACATGAGTTTCCAGAGCCTTATTTTAGCTTTCAGGCAAACTGACCACCACCGCTTGTGCAGCTGCATGGCAGCTCATGGATCACGGCTAAAACACGGCAAGAGCCAAGTTCTTCAGCCTCCTCACTCTGCTAAAACCCAACCAAGGTCAGAGCACAAAGGATGAAACGAGCCATTGTTTATCACCACGGACGTCAGATGTTTATCCTCGAGGGGAAGTTGCGCCGGGCAGATTCTTTATATATAGCGGCTTAAATCAAAAGGCAGGGTGCTTCATTTAAAGGACACTGTTTGGACCTTATACTTTACCTGTAATTTAAAAAGGTGCCTCCTGTGTGAGGATGTGACCCCGTCCCGGGGGCCTGCAGGTGACCAGGTGCTAATTGGCTTTTAGAGGGAAGTGACAGGCCCTGCGAAAAGCCCGAGCAGGTGTAGGCCCGTTGTCACCATGCAGCCTGTTTACTGAGACTCAGGTCGGACCAGAGGCAGAAGCCCTTTAATGCAGCAGCAAATGGGATTGCATCGCAGGGCTTTCAGGCTGATGTTGGAGTGGACAGCCTCCGTCGAAAGGATCAATAAACTTGTGGCAGCTGCCTCCATCTTGCAGTGCAAATCTTTCTCTCACTCACACACAAGTAGGAGCACGGGGAGACTAGATGTGGCACACAGAGAGATGAAACAGTCCCGCCCGAAATCTGCTATTATCCATTCTTTAAATAGATTAAAAGATATATCTGACTGCAATACTGAAGAGATGTGCTTTTAATTAGCCCGCGTGTGCCCAAAATATAATGTTTAATACAAAAAAAAAACATTCCTTCACAAAAGCTTTCATTAATTTTTATTTATTTCATAGGTTTTTTTTATTTTTGCTCATTATAATGGCACCCAAAGGTACAGTAAGTATGATTCAAAGTGTACTTGAACCAAGGTTTACATTTCAAATACCAGATATGCTAATTAAAGATAGTTCTGTGACATGCTTTGAAAATCGTTTATTATCAGTAGTGTAGGTGGATTAATTAATCCGCTCTGGCATTGCTCACTTGTGTTCCAGTTTTGACTTGGTGACCAACGGGGGCGTAGCCATCGCCCTGCTCTTCGAGCGCGCTCCATTCATCACCCAGGAGCACACGCTCTGGTTGCCATGGGGACGCTTCTTCGTCATGGACACCGTGGTGATGCGGCACGAGGAGAACGACATCCCGAGCTGCGACCTGAGCAGCTTCAGCCGGCCCGGCCCGCTGGTGGCCCCCGCCCCGCTCACCGCCTTCGCCGGGTCCTGCTCCGAACGGGGGACGGTCGTCCCCGAAATCCAGGTGAACCCCCCCCCCCTCCCCCCCCCCCCCCCCTCACTGCTCCACAGGTTGTAATCTGTAAGGGTCTCTTCATCAAGCGATCCATGCCCGAGAGCTAGGAGAGAATCTGAGGACTGCTCTCCATTCCTTAAAGGGCAAAAAGTATTATGTTATTAACTCATTGGCTGCCAAAGACGTCTATAGACGTCTTTTATGTTTTTCAAAAATACAAAAAATACAGATTAAGTACAGTGTACTGTACACTGTACTTAATCTGTATTTTTTGTATTTTTTTTTTGTATTTTTTTTTTTTATGTTTTTTTTTTTTTTTTTTTTTTTTTTTTTTTT